TCTCTTAAGAGTAGAAACCGCCCCCAACTTTTTTTTTTCAAATGTAAATATATGTATTGTGAAAGCTCGTTGGAATGGACATAAAGAAAGGAAAATGACCCATTGTTTACTTTTGCATTTCGGTGATCTAGGAAGCGAGAAAAAAATTAAAACATATTTTCTCGATTTTGATATGAGAATGTCATTATTCCCGCACGCAAAATCGTTGAAGAATGAAGCTCATTCTTCAACGATTTTTAGTGACATTTAGTTTTCAAAGGATACCTATTGATACCTTCAAAATTGTCAAACCTTCTAAAATGATAGAATCCACCTGTCAGTTGGTTGGTAAGTAAGTGACACCAACTGACATTTTGAAAATAAAAAAATCCCCAATTAACTGCGTTCACAAAAAAAATTTAAAAAATTAAAAATAAAATCCAAAATCGAGAAAATAGTATAAAACACACGTTGCAGAAGGCTATTCTCGCACTCATTCGTTCGTCCACTCGCTCCTTCGTCGCTCGTGGCCAAATTTCGAATTCGTGCGGGAATATGTGGCCTTCTGCAACTTGTATTTTAATATACTATTTCCACACAATTTTTTTACACTTAAAATTGTTGAATATCTTCAACATTTCTTCTTGGTAGAACTTTAATGAGAAACAAGCCGCATTTGTAACGTTATGTAATTATTTCTGACGTTAACACACTATTTGATGCCTGATACTCGGATTCTCAACCCTAAAATAGTGCGTTAATGTCAAAAATAATTACATAACTAGATCACCGAAATGCAAAAGTAAATAATGGGTCATATTCCTTTTTTTATGCCCATTCCAACGAGCTATCACAATACATATCTTCACATTTGAAAAAAAAATAGTTGAGGGTGGTTTCTACCCCTAAGAAAGGGGTAAATACCATGAAAAAAGACCCGTTTTTTTTTTTTCCAAAAAATAAACAGGCTTTCTGATACTAATTTTATTCCATTTAAAAATTCCACCCCGTATACGTTTTTGAAATTGCTGTCAAAACATTAATTTAAGTAGGCCCTACATTTTTGTGAGTTGCTTTAGATAATTGTTCTTCTTGCTTAAAAGAACCATATTGACAAAAATGAGAAAAAGTACTTTATCTTCTCAATTTAAACTACATAAATTCTCATTCAGTAACCCAACAATTCGTTCGACTTTCATTGGAATTTCACTAATATAACTTAAGTAAGTATATTAGGTTTTACGTTTATCCCAATTTGTAACATACCACTACAAAAACGTCTCCTTGGCGAAACGAACGCACTCAAGCTCGAATGCTCCACCTTCCACCGTTAGTAGTTGGGTAATTAATTAAAACGAAGTAATTACGGAAGGAATTTAAGGCTCTTAATGACCGTTATTTATCGGCCCAGATACGCGGCTCGCTGGAGTAATTGTGCGGATTTTTCAGTTAATGGAGAAATGCGCACCTTTGTTTACGATACTTTAAACGGGGAATTAGTTTTAAAGGGCTAGTTGCTTGTTGGGTGATTTATTTTGTTTGTTGCAAAATTGCCTATTCAGCAGATCATTTTGTTCGATTTATGTATAATAACTTTGTTCAAATTATAATCACTCTGATATTATGATGTTGTAATGATCCGGAAAAATAGTTCCGATATTAACAATGTCTTTACTGTAAAAATTAAATGTATCAAATAAACAAAAACTGAAATTCCGGTATTTCAAATCAGTATCGATAAATTGAAAATGAAACAAATTAGCGTTGACCCCAAATTATATTAAAATATTTATATACGTTAAAAATTCTTATTTAGTCACCAAGCGTGATGTCATCTCCTGACATCGAATCAATGAACTTATTTAAAGCGAGGTCATAGTAATTAAATCGATGATTTATGGCATTCTTGAACCAAAAATGAGTGTTGACCCCGATAAAACCAGGAAATTGCGACATAATTATTCGATTTTAAACAAATAACAAAGGAGATTGCATCATCTTCTAGAATGGTGAAAGTTGGAATTTTTGGGGGGATCGAATAATATAAATACAGCGGTTTCAATTGTTAGTTCAGTCCAGTTTGAGTTAAAGTCTACAGTACCTAATGTGTCAGTCCGAGTAAAATTCGCGAAAGTTTCTTTTATTGACTCGGAAAAAGTCTTTGAAAAGTAACGGATAATTATGAAAGAAAGAACATTCGTTCAATATTATGTGCGTGCTCTAAAGATTTTTGAAGTAAATTAAATTAAGTAATTTTACACGCGTGAAAAGTTAAATGTAAGTACTTTAGTGATTATTATTTTTCTGACTTTTAACAATGATTCTGAATGATAAGAAGTGAATTGACAATGACTTTTAATGCCTAAAAACTTGAGTGATTTTGACTAGTAAAACTTGTTGACTTTATAAATGATGAATGACTATGAAGTGAATTAACTTTGGAACTTAATTGCATAAATATTAATAACTCGAGTGTTTTGACTATGGAACATTATTGCATAAATTTAAAAGAGGAATTTATAATGCACTTAACAAGTATCGATTTTGAGTAGGAATTATTAAAGAATTTTGAATTGGATTGTCCATATTGAAGTTTAAGGGCTATAGTAACGAATCTAATAAGAATTAAATAATTGTGTTTGTTGGCTAGGAATCCGAAAATAGTAATTGTTCTGATTTAAATAAACCATTAAATGTAAATGGGAAGTTTCGAAATAAAACTTGTTGTTCATGAAGAAACATTGATAATCTTAAGTGCCGAAATTTTGAATTAGGGTTTTTATTTTTTATGTAGAAATTATTGTAAGATTTTTTTAAGAATAAGTTAATAATACCTATATTAATAAAAAAATATTTATTTTGCTTTTTCATAAGTAAAGGGCTTAGGAATTTTTAAGAATTTAAAGATATAGGTGAAGGGTAGTTTAATAGGAATGAATCGGAAGTGTTGAAATGTATAAACGTATAAGTTATTGAGAATAGTTTAAGTAGGGCGTTTTTCTTTTATGAATATTTCCTGGTCCCTAATGATGACATTTGAACGGATGTGAAGTAATTGAATTTGAAAAAAATAGAAGTGGCTGTAAGAATTGAAAGATATTTTGCTTATTTAAATTTTTGGTTTTATGTATAATAAAATATAATTTAGTAAACTTCAATAGTTTGTTTCTCCCTTTTGCGAATAGACCCTCCACAATTTTATAGGTAGCAGCTCCAAGGAAATAAATTCAAAATACCGCTCGCCATTTACCATCTAACCAATTACATAGAGTACTTGGGGCGTTTTCCTACAATGTTAATTTATGAAGTATTTTTTTTTTTTTAAATTAAATTTTATGGAAGTCAACCTGTGGCAAGACAGGAACTTTCAACACCTATTTTTATTTTTATCTTGAGAGTTTTTCACAAAATTATAAAGCAAGGTCAACAGTAAATTGTACCATTTACTGGGATTGACTTTATTACATAAAATGCTTCTTTCGATTCTCAATACTGGGTGCAATGTGGAGAATTTATTCTAAAATGAATTAAAAAAAAAACTAAATAAACTGAAGAAAATGGATTTAGACAAATCAGGCTAATCATTAAATTCTAGAACTTACCATTTATCAAATAAAATGTATCCTTTGCTTCTCTATCAATGTTCTCTATACAGAGTGGAATGTTAAGAATAATTTTAAAATTAAATTCCAAGAAACCGAAAGAAGATAGTTAGACACATCTATTTAGGGCGCAATGTTGAGGATTTGCTATGAATTGAAATTAGAGGAAGCTGAATCATTAATGAACGTATAATTGCACTTAATTTAACTATATAGCCGGATAAGCCGGATAAACCGTTTCCGATGTGTACCTACTAACAACATAATTAAATGATATTAATATAATATCTAACTGACTGTGTGTTATTGAATTAAGTGGCATGCATACGTTAATTAAAATTGATGGAAAATTTTCTTGCCTCGACTAGGATTTGAACGCAGGACCATCGCATATTCAATGTAACGCTTTACCAACTGAGCTACCAAGACCTGTTCCATTTCTACTTTGTCGGTCAAGTCTTTCATCAATTTTAAGTTGTGCAGACCAATAGCAACCTTCTGCGATTACCGTTGGTATTGTTCGTCGATTTTAATCTGATACTCGGACGGAATGTGAGCTGGTGGCTCCCTACATTAGAACGCCAATGGTTACCTGACGTCACACCTGTTTTTGCCATATGAAACACCCCCTCGCTCTTCATACCGCAAGTATCAGTTAAAAATCGACGAACAATATGGGAGTGGATTAGACGGTATTAGGGTAACAGATTCGTAACATTTGGCACTAGTGAAATTGTAAATATAAAATTGAATAGATAAGTTTTCAAAAAAGTGTTATTCACGAGCGAATTAGCTATGAGGATATTTGAAGGTAAAATTGATCAAAGTTACTTAACTTGCGCAGCAAATTTTTATTTTTATCAACGGTCCTGAACTTATCATAGAAGACAATTTTCATAATCACTAACATAAGTAAGCAATGACATCGGTACCAGTCAGAAAAAACTTAAGTTTTCCGACAAAGAGACTGCTTTTGAATCAAGGAGCTCCTCTACAAATTTACTGCCACGAGCAAATGTAAAAGGTGCTCCATCTCGTTTCAAACTTCACGAGTAGTCTCCCTAAACTCAGAACGATTAGTTATGAAATAACTGACGAAATACGGATGACTTAAAAATGCGTGCGGGAAAGTGGACAAAAACGCCGATTTGTGTAATTTGTGTACTTTTGCGAGAACTTGTGAAGCCGGGTCCAGACTATGTAACAAAATAGTTAATAACAAAGTTGTACTACAAATTTGTTTTATAACTTTGTTGTGTAACTTGTTATAAATAGCAGAAGCACCCAGACTATATATAAAAATACAAAATTATACAGGTAAATAATTTTTTATTGTAAATTGAAATAGTGGATTTTTTAAATTTGAATCTCTTGCTTTGCGGCAAATCTGCTACTTAATTCTTCTTTGTCACACACAAGTCAATTTTCGAAATTCCAGTTACTCGAGTCTTGTTGAAGATTGAAATATTTTTTTTCTTCAGCATTCTTCTCCACCACTGATTCGAGTAACGATTCTTCTTCTACGTAAGTCTCTTCGGTCTGCGAAAAATTAAACCCCATAGTATCTTCTTTTTCCTCAACTTCCTTCTTGACACGACTATGCAAGTATGGAACGTTTTCTGAAATTTTCTCAATTTTACAAGACATTTTTTCATTTTTTCTTTGTAATCTAATAGTTTCCATGTTTATGATTGATATCTGGTTTGCTAATCTATTTTCTGAAGCTCCAAGCCTAGAAGTGCAGAGAATAATCTCTTTTTTCAATTTTGAAATACTCTGTTTGAGAGATGCTAATAAATTTTGGATTCTTTCTTCTTGCTCTTCGAAACCATCAATTGATGGAGAACTATCAGATCTAGGATTAATTGTTTTGCCATAGATTTTTAGTTGTTTTGGGTCATTCTCTTCGGAATCTTCTCGATTGACTGTATATTTTTGGAAGAAATAATCCATTATATGTATTTTAGATCTGATTTTGAAAGGCAAACAGAAAACGTCAAATATTGTGAATTATTGAATGACTGATTGGACTGTTCTGGTCACAGAACGTTTTTGTTTTGTTGAATTTTAATAGGATTTGAGCACAAACCGATTTGAGAAATCGAATAAAGAAAAATAGTTTTTTTTTTTCAGATGGTAGGTATATTTTGGTTGATGAAATAATTTAGTCGCTTGACATTTACCTTTTCTTTGGAGAGTGCAAAATTTGTTTCTGTATTGGCCAACCTTTTCTCATATATTTCAGCTTCAAATATCAGAATAATTTAGTGTATGGAGTTTGGGGAGGTCCTGAATGATCATTTAGACACAAAATCTCAACATAAAATAATTTGAAATTTCATCATTTCAGTACATCTACATAGTAATAAAAGTACATGATATCTGATGCATAATATGATAAGTACAGTTGGTACCAACATAAAAAAAAATAATGATAATTGTTTTTGCAATTTTTACCGCTTGAATAATGATCATTCTCAAAATCAGAAATATTCCAGGTTTTTCAACATATTTTCGAAACAATCTGAAATTGATGTTTGTGCATTTCAGCAAGGATTTATTTATCTTAATATAATTATACCTAATTGATGAATCATCACTATGAAGTAATGAAAAAAGGCACCAGGGTAATGTAAACAAGCTTGTTCCTTTCTTCTCTTGTATTTTAATATTCGTCATTCCGCAGTAGACTATTTAATCGGAAAACTACCTAACCAAGATTTTTAAGTGCATTATTGTCCATTCGACTTATAGGAAAATATTAACTTTTTTGAACAGAAAAATTTTGGTAACAGTGCTTTTAGACCGTAAAATGTTTGATGTCTCTAATATAACTTTTGTCTAATTATTATTAGACAAAGGAGGTGGACCCATTGGTTTATATACGTCTTTTTCTTTCCGGTAAATAAAGCAAACGATAACTGGTGATTTATGGAACGAAGTAAATTTAAATGTTTTGATCATTGGTGTGAATTCAGAATATGCACCAATGAAGTTTAAAGAAAATTGATATATTATATTAAAATAAAATGTACAGATAAAACCGTGATAGGTACGTCTTTTCGACGTCCAAAATCAAAATTTTACGTTTGGGGTCCACAAATATCAATATACTGGCAAGTATGTTGCACATAAGTCCCAAGAGGCGTGAAATGTTAAAACAGGTAGTAGTCTGCCTATAATGTATTATAATCCATATATGTACCTCAGAGGTAAACTGTATTAAGTCACTTTTTTTTTCGAAAATGGGTTTTTAGCTGAATACTACTTCTAATAACTTACTTGACCTCCTGAGAAAATTTCATACACCTAGCTTTTAAGACAACCGAAATACCCAATTGGAACCTGTGTCAAGTGACTCACCAGGCTTAAAGGTAAATTGTACCAGAATCACTTAGTGTCAGTATATTAAATTATAATATTATGACTTAATACAATTTACCTCTGAGGTACAGATATATGTATTCGAAAGAGAGTAAATATAAATAGATAATAATAGATCACGCACACAATAAAACTGATATTTAGGCCCATGATGTATCATTTTTTGTTGACAGATTGCTTTTTGACATAACAGTAGGTACCATCGTCACCAAAAGTATCTGGGACACAAATAATGCATAAAAATCTCCTGGACTAATTCTACTGTCATTCATTTCAATGCATTTAATTCATAGTTTGACAAATATTTGACAATAAAATTCATATAATAGGACAAGAGTTAATGTGATGCTGTCCCAGTTACTTTTGGTGACGATGGTACCTATTTTCACGAAATTGCCTTAGGAGCCTGACCGGATTCTAAAAAATGCAATTTTCTGCGCGTCGCGTAAATAATTCGGGAATATCTCTGTTCAAGTACGGCACCAGGTTTTTCTAGATAAATCCCGAGGACACTGTACACTGTCGGCTATGAATATCGCGAAGTAGTAGGGTAAGTAAGTCAGCCTTGATTGACACGATATTGATCGTGTATATTTCAATAAGTTGTAAGTGAATTTTGTATTCAATTAGTTTAATAGAAGTTGTTACTGTTTGTGAAGTGAGTTTTTACTGAGCCCGGAATCCGTGACAGTATTATCGATATATCTCCCTGATTATTTTTATACAAATACTTTTTATTTTTATAAATAGCATTTTTGTTAATTAATTTTGGGTCTGAGCATTTGTAGAACACACGATTGGCGAAATATAAACATGCCAGCGATAATTTTCCAAAATATGTCTGGCGTTGTCATATGAGCAATTGTTCATTTCGCGTCACCTATCTTGCACTAATGCCCAAATCCATTTTGTTTTTGGCTAATGTTAACATGAACATTTAAACGTTACGATTTCGCTGATAATCATCAATAAAATATTCTAATAATTCTATTTAAAAATACTCCGATGAATTTTGTCACCTGAATCCAACTTGGTCGAATTAGTTAAAAGATTTTAATCAACATGTCTCGCACAGTCTGATACCGGCTTAAATGCACTTTCAAATCATCCAATCAGAGTAACAGATGAAAGACAAATTGGCCAATAGAACAACCGCTTGCACGAAATTGGCCCCATTAGCCGCGACTGATGGTTTGACAGTCAGACCGATGACACAATTAACTTTTTAGCTGGCAATGGCGTACCGAGGCTAAATTGAGTCTCGTTGTTCATTTGTTTTATTAAATTGGGGATTTAAAGTTGGGGGTTTAAACTTGCTGGTGTCTTGTTAACGAACGATGCGCTACATAGGGTATAAATGTTGGAGATTACACGACTAAGTTTAAATATTAGTCTCTGTATATTAGAAGCAAATGATTATGTTCATGAAATCGTCGGTCTCATGACATAAGGCCCTATCTCGAGATAGGGCCAAAATGAGTTAAGTTCATAGATATGTTGTATTTAGTGTATACCTACTTGTTTTTAGCCAAAGGTCTTATCTCAAAATCAGGTAATTTCGTTAAAAAAGTGAGAAAACACATGGCCCTATCTTGAAGTATGAATAGTTTTATCACAGCATAAAGGTGAATATTGAGACACAAATGTTAACTACTATTTTGAAATGTAGTATTTGTCAAAAAACTTACATGAGTTGTTGTTATTAATTCCAAAAAAAGAGACCAAAAATGAGTATAGTTCTTTGTATTATATTGGCGTAAAGATATTAGGTTTCTTTTAATTGCTCTCCTGAAAACTTGTAAAAAACGAGATAGGGCCTTATGTCCTGAGACCGAAGAAATAATCATTGGTGAATCAACAATAAAAAACATCAATGTAAGTGAGTAAGGCAAATCTGCACAATACATAGGTTTCTGAGAATCTATCATACATATTAATTAAGTATCTTTGTGCAGTTGTCAGTTATAGGGCTGCCTCATTGAAATGGGCTGATTTTGTTTCACTTTTTATGTAATTTTCATTTTTAAAATCACAAAATTGTCAAAACTTTTTTGAAACATCCTGTTATAGCGGAATTGGAAAGCCAATTCCAGAATGGATCTCAAAAAATATATAAATCTACCCTCTCAGAACTGGGTTCGTAATTCGGTTCATATTTTATAAGCAAGGATACGTTCCTAATTCCCCTTTTAAATTGGATTCCATCCATTCCGAATCTAATTTTCAAAATTTATACATTCCCATTCATATGTCCATTCGTTGACGGCAGAAACTGATCTTTTGTTTCCGTTTCGGTTCCGGGAAAGACTGATATTGCACATAGTTCCACCTTTTTCAATCGATTCGGAATGATGATGGATACCTATACTCGAATATCCTATAGGAAACTTTTGTTAATTAAGCTGGTGCTTTTCAATTCCTGGCTTCGTTTCGTATTTTTGGAATTAAAATCATACTTTAAAGGAAGAAATACTGTGAGATAATGTATTTATCAACTGGAATTCAATGGAAGCGTATTTTTAATGATAAAGGGGGGTTATGATTTGTTGATAAATACATTTTCTAGGATTTTAATAGTAGGCATTATCACGGATTCCGGGTCCACTAAAAGTCACTTTCCAACAGCAACAATTTTTATTGGAGTTCTAGTTCAACAACTGTCGAGTGCAGTACCTCGTCGAGACAATTCGAGTAGTTTTTTGTGTGTGCTGTATATACTCAGGTGAAAAAACTGGTTTACTTTGTGTCGGACTAAATATTTTTTTTCGCTTCAGCGATATATATATTGAGTGGAATTTTCATATAATTTATTAAATATTAATGTCTTACAACAAACTGTCTTCGACTACAAGGGCAGAAATTAAACTCAAGTTGGACAAAAATACTGTGCTAAGTCATGGATCAGCCTTCTGGTTCAAATTCAGAGAATGAAGGAATCATTTATTCTTTGGTAACTGAATCCATCCCCAAGTTTACTTTCTCAAAAAAAGAACAAGCAATAATTCTGCACGCGGAAGAGGATGATTATAATGTTGAAGCGCTATAGGTGACATCGTTACTTACAGGCAAAAAAAAAGCCCTTGCATCGCGTATTTATAATAACAGGATCTGCATTTATCTTTCTAAACTTGAACTGGTTGATTTAATCATCTCCTCTCACCCCACTGTCGGGAAAGCTGATAGAGTTTTATCGGTTCGAAGACTGGTTTCACCTTCTAAACGAGTGATGTCTTCCCTACTCCAGATAATTTCGAATTACATGCATCTACAGTTGTTACTTATGAAGAAATTGCGTATAGAATTTTTCTTTCCTCGGATAAAATGGAATATTTTATTTGTAAACAAACAGGCCACTTATAAATGTCCAAGTTCAACAATGCAAACTGCACATAGTCAAAATATTGATTCGCAAAAGAAAGCAGATCATCAGCCTCAAAAAAGAAATATATCTGACATCTTGACTGCTAGTGATCGTAGTTCCGATGTTTCAACTGCTGTTGAACACAGCTTCGCTCTTGATAATGTAATGCCGCCAACTTCTATCAAAATCACGCATACTCAGAAAAAGC